ACTGTATTCCGCTATGCTATGGGGAACAAGACACAGAGTGTTCATGAAATTTTGCAGTGGATATGGATCGTGTTGTAAAATTTATGGGCAACGTTAATAACTTAACGGATACGATGTACTATAAATATACATTTAAAAATCTCATTATTAGAAATTTTGTAGAAACGAAAGATACCCTTTCTTCAAGTTTCAGATTTCAAGAAGGCGCTAGTTTTCTACCTAACGAGTACAAGAAAGAATACTTTTTTTCAATACAAGCGAAAGTGCGAGTCCCAGGAAGTAATTGAGAAGAAGACGACTCGATCGTTGGGACAGTACTTTTAATAAAAGTATTGTCTCAGCGATCGAGTCGTCTTCTTCTCGAATACTTTTATGCATTTTTTCTATAAATTATAGTTGAATTAATAAGAGCAGTGAAGATAAACGAGAAAATTAATACATCTTACATAGCCATTTTTACGGAATATACTTTTGCAGACGGTCAGAAAGACGCTCGTTCAAACGTCGGCATCCTGAAGTGACTAAAATAAATTGGGAGTAGGCTGCACGATTACTATTATAACAAATATAGTTAATTACCATACTCGAATCGAAGACACATTTCAGAATTTTGTTTGGCACTTAATAAGGTAGATACATTAACTGTTTCTAGCGTCTCTTCAATCACGATCAAAATTCATGGTGCTGTCTTTGCTGAAAGCTGCAACACAAAAGTGGACATCAGAGTCTTTTTCACTGAATATGAAGTCTCGGGTTAGCTGACGACAAGGCCCGTGCATTGACAAGTGCCTTGTGAATTATTTATCTCAGCTGACAGCGTACCTGTCAGGTAGTTTGAGGTGTCTGAATTTAAGGTCCAATGATCCCTGTTAAGTCTTTGGATAAGCTAGCATCTGTCGGGAAGTAGTTCAGAAGAAAGAGAGGTGACCACTGGAGCAAAAGTTTTATTGTCCTGACGTTGCGGATTCCGTCGGGAATCCTTAATCATAGGTAATAGTACAATATTCTGAGTCATGTGCAGATAGGGGTGAAACATGCACAGATTGCACGGTATTTATAGTTCGTAGCAGTCATCCGCGTGCATGCTGTAATTATCCACTCTTGTAGCCACCGCTTTGGTCTTAATTGGTGCAGTGATGGCTTGACACTTCGTGTTCGACTCACTAATTGTCGCAATTTCCCTGTCCGTGTCGGATGCGGGCTTGGTAATTGCGCGACAATTATGCTCACTGTCGTCAAAGTTGTTGTTGGGCCTGGCCCTTCCCACGTGACTGATTTTTTACTCAGGCAATGTCTCAGGACACAGTAGGGAAACGCCAATAAGGGGTTTACCATGAGTATCTTTTATCAATCGCAATTCTGGGAGCAACGCCCTATTGCAAAGTTGCTTCAGCACAAGTGTGTACACGTTTTCTATTGATTTTTTGAAAACCAATAAAACCGCAGCATAAACCTGTTTCTACTACTCACGTCTCTGATGACGAATCCGCGACGGATATCAAAACGTCAGGCGAATAAACAT